GCATGCCAGCACACCTAGTGGCTCATTGGAGAGGATTTGCTGTACCATGCTAGTCTAATACACCCTTTCCATCACCCATCCCCATCCCATCTCTCTGCTTTGTCATCTTCACAACACTGCTCACTAATAATTTCCTTGGGCAATTCTTTGTGAGCTTGTTTATGGTAGATTTCCCCTACTGGAGTAAGCTCACTGACAAATACAAAACAAAACACAAAAATGAGTCTGTCTTGTTTTCCACCACATCGCTGAATCTTAGATGAGTTCTGGGCTCACAGTAGGCACTCAACAAATATTTAGTGTTGGCCTTGGTGCAGCTGTGCATCCTAGTGCCACTAAGTTCACTGGGTTCTGGGCTCCTTTAAGACTCCTTGCAAGAGAGAAGATGGCAGGACACATTCAGACCTCCTGTGTGTATGCTTCCTAGCCCTGTGACATGGCCAGCTTCATGGGCGTGAGATCTGTGTAATTCCACTGGGCCCTGCACTTAGAAGGGGCCCATTCTTTGTTAAATGTTTTGCTGTTGCCCTTCAAAATTTTTAATAATTTTTGAACAAGTGGTCCTGCATTTTCATTTTTCCCAGGACCCTGCAAATTATGTAGCTACTCTTGCGCTAGGGAGACATGATGCAGATCAGGGGACAGGCAAACACAGAGCATTCCTGAGCCTCCAAACATAAAGCTGAGTGGCCATCTTCCTGCCTTTCTGTACAGTACCAGACTGCTTCAGAGAGGGGCAATTATGCCCTTACTATAACTATTCTTGGAACTGAAGTGTCTTGTATGGTTTGTCTAATTTACTTGTCTTCCTCTGGGTTGAGTACAGTGCCCGATAACCAGCACTATTTATATTTTCTGAATGAGTGACTGAATGCCACACAGCCAAGGGGCAAGTAGTTACAGCACCCTAAACAGAGGACATACGCAAGGGCACCTTTCCCTTAGGGGTTGATATTCATACTTTTCGGTTCTCCAAGTATTTCACACATGTTTTTGTCTTTGCTGGCCCCTGGACTTGGTGATGGAGGAATATACAGCAAGCCTTGGAAACGGTCTTGACTCTCACAAGAGCGGAGAGGCAACTTCTCTCAAAAATTATTAACACAAGGTAAACAGTCATGATTGCCCTGCTTTGCCCATGAAGACAGGGCTCTCTCTAGCTGGGAACTCCTGGAATCTGCATACAGACCGGAAGAAGGTGTACTTTGCACAGAACTGAGCTTGGCAGAGAGCCAGCTGAGGTGTTGAAATTAAAAATGCATGGCGTTTAGGACACAAACTAAGTATCTGCAAGTTCAAGAAGATTGAAATCATATCAAGCATCTTCTCAGATCACAATGGCATGAAACTAGAAATCAATTGCAACAATAACATGCAAAGACATTTGAACACATGGAAGCTAAATAGCATGTTATTAAACAACGAATTGGTTACCGAGGAGATCAAGGAAGAAATTAAAAACTTCCTAGAAACCAATGAAAATGAACACACAACGATACAAAATTTGTGGGATGCAGCAAAAGCAGTTCTGAGAGCAAAGTTCATAGCACTACAGGCTTACCTCAAGAAACAAGAAAAAATCCTAATTGACTCTATAACCTCACAACTGAAAGAACTAGAAAGCGAACAAAAAGAAAACCCCAGAGCAAGTAGAAGGAAGGAAATAGTAAAGATCAGACCAGAAATAAATGACATAGAGACCAAAAATAAAATTCAAAGGATCAATGAAACAAAGAGCTGGTTTTTCAAAAAGATAAACAAGATTGATGGACCCTTTGCTAGACTCACCAAGAAACAAAGAGAGAGAACACAAATACACAAAATCAGAAATGAAAGAGGAAAAGTAACAACTGACACCACAGAAATACAAAAGATCTTTAACAACTACTATGAACAATTAAATGGCAACAAATTCAACAACATAAGCGAAATGGAAAAATTTCTAGAAACACGTAGTCTCCCAAAACTGGACTGGGGAGAGATAGAAAACTGGAACAGACCAATAACACTAAGGAAATTGAAGATGTAATCAAGACTCTCCCAGAAAACAAAAGCCCAGGCCTGGATGGCATCATGGGGGAGTTTTACCGAACATTCAAAGAAGAACTAACCCCATTCTCCTCAAACTATTTCAAAAAATTCAAGAAGAAGGAAGACTTCCAAACTCATTTTTTGAGGCCAGCATAATTCTAATTCCAAATCCAGAAAAATACACAACAAAGAAAGAAAACTACAGGCCAATATCCCTGATGAACATAGATGCCAAAATCCTGAACAAAATGCTAGCAAATAGGCTCCAGCAATACACCAACAAAATTATCCACCATGACCAAGTGGGATTCATCCCAGGCATGCAAGGATGGTACAATATTCGCAAATCAATAAATGTGATACACCACATAAATTAAATGAAGAATAAAAACCACACGATCATATCAAAAGATGCCGAAAATCCATCGACAAAATCCAGCGTCCATTTCTGATAAAAACGCTCAGCAATGTGGGAATAGAGTGATCATATCTAGACATAATAAAGGCCATATATGAAAGACCTAAAGCCAACATCATACTCAATGGGCAAAAACCAAAAGCATTTCCCTTAAGAACAGGAACAAGGCAAGGATGCCCACTTTTGTCCCTCTAATTTAACACAGTATGGGAAGTCTTAGCCACAGCAATCAGACCTGAAGAAAAAATAAAAGGGATCCAAATTGGAACGGAGGAAGTAAAAACTGTCATTATTTGCAGATGACATGATATTATACATAGAAAACACCAAAGACTCCATCAAAAACTTACTAGACTTAATAAATGAATTTGGCAAAGTAGCAGGATACAATATTAACGTCAAGAAATCAACGGCATTCTTGTACACCAATGATGAACTCACGGAAAGAGAAACTAAGAAAACAATCCCATTTACCATCGCACCAAAAAAATTAAGATACCTAGGAATAAACTTAATCAAAGAAATAAAGGACCTATTCACTGAAAACTACAGGTCATGGAAAAAAGAAATAAAGGAAGATATAAAAATGTAGAAGCACACACCCTGTTCATGGATTTGAATAATTAATATTATTAAAATGTCCATATTACCCAAAGCAGTCTATAGATTCAATGCAATCCCCATCAAAATACCACTGGCATACTTTACAGAATTAGAACAAGTACTTCAAAAGTTCATATGGAACCAAAAAAGACCTCAAATAGCTACAGCAATCTTGAAAAAGAAGAACAAAGTTGGAGGGATCACATTGCCAGATTTCAAGTTATACTACAAAGCCACCATAATCAAAACAGCCTGGTACTGGCACAAGAACAAGCATATAGACCAGTGGAACAGAACAGAGAACCCAGAAATGGACCCAAGGCAATATGCTCAATTAATATTTGACAAAGCTGGCAAGAGCATACAGTGGAGTAAGGACAGCCTCTTTAATAAATGGTGTTGGTAAAACTGGACAGCTACATGCAGAAAAATGAAACTAGACTATCAACTTACACCCTACACAAGAATAAACTCAAAATGGATAAAAGACTTAAATGTGACTCATGAATCCATAAAAATCCTAGAAGAAAATGTAGGCAACAAAATCTCAGACATCATATGCAGCAGAATTTTCACTGACATATCACCTAAGGCAATAAAACAAAGAAGAAAACTAACACATGGGACTACATCAAACTCAAAAGCTTCTGCACAGCAAAAGATACAATCATCAAAACGGAAAGACTACCCACTGTATGGGAGAGCATAATTGCAAATAACATATCAGATAAAGGGTTAATTTTCAATATATATAGAGTGCTTATACAGCTCAACAAAAGAAAGATAAAGAACCCAGTTAAATAAATGGGCAGAGGAACTAAATAGACACCTCTCTAAACAGGACATACAAATGGCTAAGAGACATAGGAAGAAATGCTCAACAACAGTAATCATCAGAGAGATGCAAATTAAAACAACAATGAGGTATCACCTTACACCTGTCAGAATGGTTGCCATCAACAAATCATCAAACAACAAGTGATGATGGGGCTGTGAAGAAAACTAGACTCTAGTATACTGCTGGTGGGAATGCAGACTGGTGCAGCCACTATGGAAAACAATATGGTGTTACCTCAAAAAATTAAAAATTGAACTTCCATTTGACCCAGTGATCCCACTTCTAAGAGTATACCCTAAGAAGCCTGAAACACCAATGAGAGAAAATACATGTACCCCATGTTTGTAGCAGCACTATTTATAATAGCTAAGATCTGGAAACAGCCCAAATGTCCATCAGTAGACGAATGGATACAAAAGCTGTGGTACATATACCAATGGGGTACTATGCAGCTGTAAGAAAGAAAGATCTCTTATCCTTTGAGACAACATGGAGGGACCTGGAAAGTATTATCCTAAGCATAACAAACATAACAGAGAAAGACAAGTGTCATATGATCTCACTTATTTGTGGAATATAATGAACATAACAGTCTGAGGAATGGGGTCGTCCCAGAGATGTGGAAGTGGGGTACAGATTGACAATCCCCAGAGAGGAGGTGGCAGGGGAGAGATAAACCACAGAACTTATATGCATGTATGCATGAACAATGGACATGGACAACAAAGCTGGAGACAGGGCAGGGAGGGATAGGGAGGCAGGAATCAGAGGTTGAAAAAGTAGAAACATCTGTAACAAAAATTAATTAATTAATTAATAAAAAAATAAAATAAAAATCAAGATAAAAAAATATTGCATAAGGTGACACACTAAGTTTGTATCCAGTTATGTGGCTCCAAGTCCAGAGCTCCTCCACTAGAATGTATCAGTTTACTGCATTGCCTGGACTATTCCATTCCAAGTGGGCACTGGATATAATGACACATCCATAGTGGCGGAATTGTCTAGATGGAGCAGTAACACAGTGGTCAGAAAGATAGCAAAAATCAGGCTGGGTACCTGAATTCCTGTCAAGGGAGGGTTATGAATGGATGGTATGGGGGTGGAGACATGGTAGTGATTGGGTGAGTTGTTGGCAGGTTTTGGAAGCTGAGATGGGCAAAAAACAAAAGCCCATCTAAGTTGGTCCCTACAGTTCTCTGATGATGGAAACCAGAGAAGCCAGATACTTCTAAGCTTTAATTTCTCTTTTTGTCTTTCTTTTTAGCTCTTTGTCTCAAATACCACTGATGCCACTCACTGGTGGTGGTCCTTAGGTCCAAGTTGAGTGGATATTTAACTGCTCTAGGCCAGCCTAATGAGGCTTCTTTCTCCCTTCCAGGATGACCATTGATGCTGAATGTTCACTCCATATGCTCAAATTTCCAATTGATTCTCACCCTTGCCCTCTGTCTTTTTGTAGCTGTGAGTACCTTCTTAAATTCCTAGAGCCCCAGAGTCATGCTGGGCTCCTTCTTTTTCTTATCCTTGCCCTTTACATTTCTCCTAAGTTGGTACCAATTTTGTCCAGAACCTCCCAATCCATGCTCATCTCCTTTCATGCTGACAGTGCTCAACCTGGGCCTTACGTTGGGTTCCTCCCTCTCCTTTTTACTCCATTTCAAGTCTGTTACCTGCCAGTACAGTGTATCACATGTATGTCTGCTCTTGGCCATTTCCACTATCACTAACTTGGATAGGTCTTTGTCATATTCAACTTGGACTTTTGCAACATCTACACTTTGAAACTGAACATGTCCAACACTAAATATATTGTCTACCCCCAAACAAATGTTCTTCTTCTGTATTCTCACCTATCTCATTGAAAGGCATTATCACCCACTCAGTTGTTCAAGCAAAACATTGATGCTTCTCCTTTACCTGTTACATCTAATCAGTTACATCGTGTTGGTATTCCCTTCCAAATCTTTATTGATCCTGTCGGTTCCTCCATATTTTCACTGCCATAGCTTTGAATCCTTCTTTTATTCATTTTATTATGCCTGGATTATTGCACTGGCCTCCCATAACTGTTATCCCTGTCAACAGGCCATCTTCATCTTATGACCAGAGTGAACTAGCTGAAGAGTCATTTAGACCAGGTCACTTCTTAGTTTCAAATTCTTCCTTACCTCTCATGTATCAATTCCAAATCATTATGATGTCCCTCAAGGCCCTTCGCAAATTTGCCCCTGCTACCTACTCCTGCATACCTCATTTAAAGTCTGTGAGCCAGCCATCATGAACTTTTGTCATTTCCATAATACATCAGAAACATTCACCTCTCTGTGCATAGAACACCCTCTTCACCCCTTCAGCCTCATGCATAATATAGAGAAAATGGACTCAACTTTAAAGAATTATTAGGACTGTCACCTATTCTTTGAAGTCTTTTCTGGATTTGTCCCCAAGAGATCTTTCCTCTTCTATTTCCCTACTGTCCCAAGAGCATAGGTTTCTCAGACTAATTCTAAGAACTACAGATGTATACTCACTGTCCAACTTATTCAAATGTGAACACTTGAGGGCAGGGTTCCTGCATTGTTCATCTCTGTATTTCTAGCACAAGGCCTAGTACTGAGGAATGCTCAGTAAATGCACTTATCAAATGGACTTCAACAATGAGGTAAGAGAGGCAAGGTACCACACTGGTGAGGCCAGAGCCAGGACTCCAGAGCATTGTTCAGACTCCTTGTGGAGACTGCCACAAGTCTTCCCAGTCTCACATGAGCCTCCTTCCCACATTGCTTTACAGTTTCCTGTCCTGAGAATGAGATGATGTACAAGTGGAAAAATTTCGAGCTTGAAATCAATGAGAGTAATTCCTAGAAGCTCTTCCAGTTTGATTTTACAGGAGTAAGCAATGAGACTAAAACTATCTCAACCATAGCTGTTAAGTGCCCCTTTGGGTACAGGGCTAAGCAGAGGCCCAAGTGGGTGGTAGGGATGAGTGGAGGTAGCCATCCATACATACAAATGCTATGTAATCATCCCATGGAAATATTGTAGAGCATGGCTCCTGTCTTGTTAATGCTAAGCACTTACAACTGTTTGCAGAGGAAACTGAGACTTTGTAACTACATCTCAGTCTCATCTGCAAAGAAGTAAGTGCTTTGCCAAGCCCCTGAAAAGGTACATAAGTAGATAAAGTTATATTGTTATCAGAATTTGCAACTAGTTTTGTCATGCAGACCCTTTATCTTTGTTACAACTGACCTATGTGAATTACTTTGAGGAATGGAGCTCATGTGTGTTCTCCATACCCAGAACTAATCCAAGCCAGCTGAGTGAGAAGCAAAAACTATTCTAATTGAAGGTGGAGGCTAGAGTTCTTATGTCAGTAGGTGAGGTCTGGAGTAGTATGGAGGAAGTTTCAGCAGCTACAATGGCTGCTGCAACATTCAGTTTAAAGGAGCAGCTTTGACAAGCACAGATTCCTGTCAAAGGCTTCATGGTGAATTCAACATGTGGTGATCACTGGTTTTCTGACCTTGTCCCTAAGGACCAGAGTGGGGAGGGGATCCTTGGTCTCTTATACTTCAGCTTCCAACTAGGTGTGAGCATCTCTGCTTGTGTTCCTAGGTGATATGAATGAGGAGCAAAGGGACCTCCTCAGGGTTGCTCCCAGAACATCCCTGGAAACTCTCTTCACACATACTGACCAAGTCAAGGCAGTGGAGGCACTGCCCTAATTGTTTCCAGAATGCAGATGAAGCCTGTCACCCAACCAGCCATTTGCCATTGGAAACATCTTGCTTTGTTTCCATGAGGCTAGGCAGAACATTTGCTTTTGCTTTACTTGTTGAGTTGGTCACTGGGTGAGGGATAGATCATGCTCATCTTGCTAAAGCTTTGCTTGCACACTACTAGGCATGGGGAGAGGTCTGCTTTACAAATGCTCTCCTTTTTTCTCAGGGATTCTGGGTAGGCAGTTTTGCTACCCTTGACTTGGGATGCTTGATCTTCTGCCAGCTAACTATGGGCTTGCCTCTTGCCTTTCTGCACCCCAGATTCCCCAGACAGGTAGGACCCATCATCAAAAGTGACTGAGGAGACAAGGCCTAGGGACTTTCAAGTCACTAGTGGTTCCATTTAGTAGATGGTTGTGCATTTTTTCAAAATGGTACCCTAGTGACTACAAAGCCCCAGTGCCAGCATCATCACCAAAGCAATGGCAATAGATAAGCACCAGCTATCCCTGGGAGAGGGGAGGTTCTTAAGGACAAAGAAGAGGGGTTTCTTTTTCTTCTGCTAGAGACTAGTTGATATGGAATCATGGCTTGTCCAGTATCACAGTTCACTTTGAGACTGATCCCAAGCTCTTCCACTTTTAGTCAACGCAAGGGAAGTTCTCTCTATAAGTAGCAAACTTAAGTACTAAGTTCCTAAAGGTTCAGAATAAAATAATAGCTTGCTACTCTGGCTACCTTTGGCCTAGAACCAGAGAATCTCTGTTTCAGAAGGCTCTCAGAGAGTCCAGCCTTGTCTCCAGTGAGTAAAACAGCCTTCACTGGTGGCTGTTGAGCCTCTGATGGAATTTTACCTGTGACTAGGATTTTACTTTCTTAAAAGGGAGTTTTTTTTCTTCTCTAGACAATTCTGTCTATCAGAAAACTCTCCCTGTTCATTTGAAATTGGAGGCTCTGGAATTTCTACCCATTGGATCTAGTGCTTCCCCCCTAAAACCAGTAAGTCCTGTCACTTTTCCACAGGGTCAAGATTAAAGGACCAGTATTATGGTTCCAGCCCTGGGTCATATTTTTTATAGGCTATAGAGCACTAGTTCTTTTTCTTCCCTTGTTACTCAAAGTTGTGGGTCCACTCATCCCTTTAGTCCCAGTGGTTGGGACATAGTCTTTTTAATTGTGATCCTCTGACAGTGCAGGTAAGAGCAGAAAACATCAGTAGTGGGGTTTTGTTTGTTTGTTTGTTTTTGCTTTGGCTCCTTAGCCCCAGGAATGACCCCTCCTTTAGCTCCCTTACCCACACTCCTACATTCCTCAGAAATAAGAAAGTGGTGAGTGTTAGTATCCTTCTATCAGCCTTCATAGATATATTTATATTTGTTGTCAAGTGGAGAAGGTTCTTCTTTGGCTGAAATAAATAAAATAATAAAATAAAATAAAATAAAATAAAATAAAATAAAATAAAATAAAATAGAAAGAGTCATTAAGATAATAAATCTTCTTGCAATAAGAATATATAAACTCTGCAAAGTTTTGTGAAAGTGGCTGTAGCTAAATAGCGGTGTATTAAATTATAGTCAAGACCCCAAGGCAAGAGAACTAGGAACTTGATAAATACATTCTGGTCAGTAGGCAAGTATGAGTGGTCTCTGCAGCAACCCTGGAGGAGTTGTATCCCCAAAGCTACCAGTCCAGACAAAGGTATTCCAATGACCCCAGGATACTTCCTTGACTTTTTCCAGAATATTCTGTAGAGTATTGTCCATTGAGTGTCAGTGCTGCCAAGGTGAATAGGAAAGGCTGCTCCTCTCATTCAGCTCCAATACATTCAGGCCGGAAATGTGATCTACTTTTTAAATAGGAGGACACATGGCCAGGTTAGTGCTCTGGTCTGCTGTACAAAGCACTCTGGGGCAGCTGCAAGACTTGCTCAGCATGTGCTAGGTTCCAGGCTATGCCAGGCTCAGGTGAGCAGAAGCCAAAACACAGGGCTCACACAAGCCCTGCTCTGAGGGTGTTTAAAAGGGGTTTTAAGGCCAAGGAATTCATCACTGAGGTTGGAGTTTGAAGTTTAGCTTCACCAAGGAGGCAGCATTTGAGCTACTACACATTCAATGTTATGTTGAGAGTAAAAGGAATGTTTTGGGTTCAGAAAAGCCGCTCAAATCCTTGGAGTCATGATGGGCATGCAGAGTGTTTACGATGAGTGTGTCATAGTATAAGGCAGCATGAAGGGTACAATGGAAGACACCAACTGAAGAGGTAGGTTGTGATCAGGTCCTACAGAAGCCATCACCAACTGAGGAGAAAGCCAACATCAAGGACATGATGCCCAACTGAATGTAAAGACCTCAGCTGCCTTGTGGGTGTACACTCTGCAGATCTGACATCTAGAGTACTGAATGAAATTTTTACTTTCAGCTAATTTTTTAAAACACTCAATTTTGGTTAAGGTAATAGATTAAGAACAGGGGGTCCAGGGTTGGAATATTGGTATAAATATGCAACCTATTATAGGGAATCTGAGAATAGATAAGATTAGCTTAGGGTTCAGTGGTGTGTGTAAGATGAAAGTTGAGGTCAGGCCATGGTGGGCCTTTAGTGTCAAGTTACAGAGTACAGACTTGATTCTGTAGCTCTTCTGGAGCAGGAAACCACCAGAGGTTTAGGGTTAGGTGAGTGATTTCTTTTGGACATCTAAGGCATTTCATCAGCATATGAATATATGGGAAGGAGGCCCAGTAGATTCTGTGCTTCCCCCATTACAGCGTAGGTCAACATTGGATCATTTCCTGAGAATGTAAGGGCCAGCAGTGCATATGTAAAGTTGTGGTTCTGCAGAGTAGATGTGGTAACTCAATGAACGTAAAGGCCTCAGTTTGCCACCTGGACATTAGCTGTGTGGTCCTGTTATCTAAAGGGCTGATTTTTCACGTTCATCTGACTCTTCTGCCATCCTGGAAAGACAGTTGTAGGGTGTGAGACAGTGAACTGAGAAAAGCAATTAAGGTTCTGGTCCTGGCTTAGCTCTTAACTGACCATGGCTCTTGCAGGGTGTCTCCTTTCTGGGCTTCTGATTCTCTGTGTGTGGCACTGGAATAATGTGCCTCTCTCCTACATCTATGTGAGAATCCCATGGGCTGAATAATGGGGTCTTTAATATGCATGTCCTGCCTGGGAGAGACCCTTATGTCATTGTGGTAATGAAGTGGTATGTTTTACGTCTCCCAGGTGGTTTTATGGTCATCACGCTTTTCTTCAATGTGAGCAGGCAGTTTGGCTTTAATGCCTTTCAAAACTATGTCTCTTCTTCTGTGACCACAATCATGTCCTGGATTTCCTTTTGGATCAAGAAAGACTCTGCTCCAGCCAGGACCTCTTTAGGTGAGTGGGTAAGGTGAACATCCACCTGGGCACAGAATTGCCTTCTCAGAAGCCCGTTAAACAGTGTGATATATGGATAAGTAGCTAAACCCATTTCCACTCCTGTGCTTTCACAGGAATCACCTCTGTACTCACCATGACCACACTGGGTTCCCACTCCTGGAAGAATTTTCCACGTGTCTCCTATATTGCAGCCTTGGACTTCTATATAACCATTTGTTTCCTCTTCTGCTTCTGTGTTCTTGTGGAGTTTGCTGTGCTTAATCTCCTGGTCTACAACCACACGAAACCCCAGGCTTCTCTGAGACTTTGTCATGTATGAGCTGGGTATGGAAGTGGTAGCATGGTTTTGGAGTATTGAAGCATGCAGTTGAGGGCAGTAGAATTCATGGCACATAGGTGGCCAGCTCACTCAGTAGTGGGGTATAACCTGAAGTGTTAGGGGGAGTTGAATAAACTTTCTGATGTGATGGTGGGAATTCTGGGTGGCAAAAGCAGTGTGCCAAGGACAGAATCTCTAGAAACCCCTGAAGGAGCACCTAGGTTTGGTCCATCTTGCCTTGATTTTTTTCTCCTTCTTTGTTCATTTCAGCCTCATATCCATCCATGCCCGTGTCCTTACCCCTCCCCATGCCCATGCCTACCAACAGCAGCAGGATGCTTTTGTATGTGAGTTTGAGGACTCTAAGGAGGAGAGTGATGAGGAGGAGGGCCCATATTATCCAACTCAGCAGTCCCTCCACTCAAGTCTCACCCAGTGCTGTGGCAGCTGCTGCAGGTTCTGCAAGTACCTGTGTGTGGTCCGTAGTTGTGAGGGCAGTATGTGGCAGCAGGGCTGCATTTTCATCCACATCTACTGTCTGGATAACTACTCACGAGTTTTCCCAGTGACCTTTTTCTCCTTCAATGTGCTCTACTGGCTTGTTTGCCTTAACTTGTAGTTACAAGCTGATACCCTGTGGGGCAGCTTCCCAAGTTCCCCAGGAAGTCCCACACCCCTTGTCAATGGAACAGCAACAGGAGCAATTAGAGAGTGTCTTTCCTTTTCCCTACCCTCCAGCCCATTCACTGAATCTCCTTGGCAGCCAATTTCAAGTAAAATGGCCAGCATTTCTATTCCTCAAAGGGCATTATTGATGTTCAGGTTTAAAAACTGTAGGCTCTCAGTGACCAGCTACCTAAGACCATGCCCATGTATGAGCAGATTAACTATCTCCCAACAGTGCTGACAAACACTAATTTTTTTGAAAATCCTAATACTGCCTTTGGAGTGCTGCAGGCCTAGCAGTGTAGTGTGTGTGTGTGTGTGTGTGTGTGTGTGTGTGTGTGTGTGTGTAGCCCATCTTTAGGTGAGAATATTATATTTCTGCTTCTATTTCCCTGCCCATCCTTCCTCTACAGATAGAGACTGACATTATCCCTTTAGGAGGAGAGCCAACACTTGAGCCTGTGGGTCAGAATCTTTCCCTCTGCTGCTGTGACGCCTCTCTCTCCCTCCCCTATCCCTGCCTCTATCACTCATCTGCACCATCAATTCAATGCCTTGCATCCAGTGGGTTTCTATTTTTGTAAGTGATAATAGTAATAACTCCATGTTTTATATCCCACCTTTTCCCTCCTCCTTGACCCCTGTGACTTAATGTAACTTACCCAGTGGCTTCCCCAGCCTTGACCCAGGTGCTAGGCCAAGGTGATTTCTGGGGCCAAGAAATGAAGGGAACTCTGCTTTGCAGTGGGCATTACCTGCATTGATTGGTGCCCTGTAAGGCACAGCATAGAAGTTCTGCCACTTCCTTGGTCCCTGGATCCATGAGCCAGTCCACTCTTGTCCCTGGGGCACTCTCATAATCACAGTCAATCAATTGAATTCCCTTAAATTTGTACAGTACTTTACCTTTTGCAAAGCACTTGTGACAAATTATTCTATTCTAGTCTTATCATAGCCCTGTGAAAGATTCAGGGCAGGATTCTTATCCCCATTTTACAGATGAGAACCCTGAGGCACAGATTTCTATAGGACTGTGGATCTCACTGGAAACTACCCAGGAGCCTACTGTAACGTTCTATACTACGTGAAAGGCTAGGCATCTGTGTTCACCGTAATTCAATTCTATAGCGTCTGCTGGCACCCCAGTGGCAAGTCCCAGAGTAGCAGCCTGCTCAGTTCCTGGGCCTCAGGTGTTCAAACTGCCCCCAAGATCCAACCTCTCCTGGCTCTGGTAACCCAGTGAAGTAAATTTGGACATGCCCCAATGATTGTATATGCTGAATGAAATCTGTGTCTGTATTTTATTCGAGGGGTAGGGTAGGGGTTCCACCTGCTTTTTGTCACCATCGCCTGAAAAGGGGAAATATATAAATAAATATATCAACAAAGTATGCAAGGTATGGCTGATTTCTCAAACATTTAAGTTGGTTCTCAGCTCAGGTTTTAAAATAATGACCCAAACCTTTGATTGTTTCCGTCTCCCATTCATGACCTGCAGACCTACAAAGCATACATATGTACCCGCTTTCAGTGCAGAACTGAAAGGAAGAGAGTGACTAAATGGATGCCCCCCTTTTACTGATCCCTTCACTTGCTTCTGTACCTCTGCATAGAAGCTCTATATTGCTCCATGTCTCTTTTGCTTTGCCCATAATTCTAGCCTCACCTCGTCAGAGTTAGAATGTTTCCATAACCATCAGACTCAGAGCACTTCCTAAACCATGTAAAGAGGCAGATGTTGAGGCACAGAGAGAACTGTCTACAGTCACACAACCAGACAGTAGTGGAAAGGGACTAGACCTCAGCAATCCTAATACCTTGTCTTAGCAGGGAGCAAGCCTGGATATCTTGAATGATCCACCTTTCAAACAAAATGTTTCTAAGGGTATATTGGGAAGTGTTGATCCTAACCTGTGATACATCCAACTCTAAGGAAACTCAGAAACAATAACAAGAACTGAAGAGATAAATGGTGTCTGAACAGCCAACATTTCTGCCATAAAGTTCTTGAAATAATGCAGAAACACTTTCCTTATAAGAAATCCACATGGTCTGGCCGGTGAGGCTCAGTGGTTGAGCATTGACCATGCACCAAGAGGTCACCGATTCGATTTCTGGTCAGGGCACATGCCCAGGTTGTGGGCCAAATACCCAGTGGGGGGCATGCAGGAGTCAGTCAATCCATGTTCTCTCTCATCGATGTTTCTATATTGCTCTCTCCCTCTCCCTTCCTGTCTTTAAAATCAATAAAGGAAAACATTTTTTAAAAAAGAAATCCACATGTACTACTGTATATTCTCTGATACCCAAACCCATGGCAAATGAAAATTAACAATTTAGAAAAAGGCAAATAGCTCCTCGTATATACTTACATTAGAATGATGCAAAGAGGTAACAAAAGGTAGCTTGGCTCTTGAGCAATGAAGACATGCAAATTCGTGAGCACTAATATTTGAATGCATTTTGAAACATAGAAGTAGTGCAAATGGGATCCCTTAGTCACACTGCAATAAAGCTAAGGACAAAGAAAATTATCAGCATTTGTAAATTATTAAAAGCTCATGCAGTTTTCTAAAACTGAAAAAATTAAATTTTATTAGGCAATATCACCACAATAAAATTTCTTTTAAATGAACAAATTGAAAAATAGGTCCAGAGACATGGAAGCATGGAACAGACTAACAGATCTCAGAGGGAAATGGTGGGATGAAAAAACATTAAACAAAGAACTTATATGCATATACATGTATTGCCCTTGGACACCGACAATAGTGTGGTGAAGGCCTGGGGTGGGGCAGGAACCAGATGGAGAGGGAAAATGAGTAGAAAAAAGGGAGACATCTGTAATACACTCCATAATAAAGATAAATTTTAAAAATAAAATAAAAATCAATAAATTTAAAACATAATTGGGTGTGTAATATCTAAAAATTAAAGAAAAAACTACATATTAAAACATTAAATGCAGCTAATACTGCACTTAGAGAAAATTAATAATTGAAGCATTTCAATTACTAAACACAATGGAAGAAAAATAAGGATTAAAATCTAGAAATTGGAAAAAAGGATAAAAACACATTACACCTTACAAAAGTTTGGGGAAGATTAATTTTAAAATAAATAGTATAGAGATAACTAGTTAATCATTTAAAAAACAGTAAAAAGACTAAGTTTCTACCTGTCTCTTTACATTGATATTACAGATCAATCAAAGACAAAAAATTTTTAAAGAAAACGGTAAAAGAGTTGGGAGAAGACAAGGAAGATGGCACCGGGCAGGACTGATGCATGGGTGAGTGTGTGAGAGTGTGAAAGAGTGTGAGAAAGAGTGTGAGTGAATGTGAGCATGGAAGGCCAAACTTGAGCCACGGGTCAGAAGGTTCCTGTGCTGTGAACGGAAAGCAGATGGGTATGTGGTAAGCACCAAGTCAGCAAACTTTCCCCAGCACGGCCAGGAGTCCCTTCCATTTTGGAGGATCCTGGGTCTTCCCTGGGAGGAGAAAACAGGGATCAGCTGGGGCCCAGTGACCTGAGTCCACTAGAATGCCCTGCACCATCTGTTCAGTAAACTCAGCTGTGTTGGCACGGTCAGCACACAGTAGGTGCCTGCACCAGTAGCCAAACCAGTTGGAAGCTGGAGCCCCACCCGCAAGAGGAGCGACCACTCACCCAGGCCCACAGCGGAGCTGAAGCCCCTCAGGCTCCAGGCTCGCACCAGCACGGAGGTCAGGCCAGGCTCCAGGCCTGCAGCAGCTTGCAGCAGCCTGCCCAGGCTCGCACCAGCGTGCCCAGGCTCATGGGAGCACTAGCACCAGCTTGGGAGTCCTGCACCTCCCTCCACAACAACAGTGACTGGGCGGGAATAGAGCCCCACCACCAACAGGCATTAGTAGCTCAGACGGGCAGCTTAAACCACCCCCAGTGGCATCAGCAAAGACTGATCAAGAGTGGTGCACCAGGCCAAGCAGCAGGGCTAGGGCAGCTGAGACCTGCCCCTGACAACTGCAGCAGTGGAGTTGGAGTGGAGTTCCTCCCCCCAGCAGCAGCAAAATTACAGGTGTAGAGCATCCTCAACCCACAAGAGCAGTAAAGGATTGGGACCTGAGAGCACCCCTTGGCAGCAGCAGCAGCAGCAGTAGTGCAAACCGGGAGCTGAAACTCACCCCCAGCAGCGACTGATCAGGAGCTGAGCCCCACCAGGCAGGGTTCCCCAACCACACACCCGTGGGACCCACCCACCCCAGCAGTGTACAGTGAAACCCACGAACCCCAGCAGGACACCATCTGGACCCACATGTCCCAGAAGCATACCAATGGGGCCCACAAACCCCAGCAGCATGCAAATGGAACTCACAAACCCCAACAGGATACTAGTGGAACCTCACACATGCAAGCAACATACCAGTGGGTCCCACACACCCCGGCAGGGCACCAAATGAACCCATGCACCCCAGGGAGCAGCAGCACCTATCGGCAGCTAAGACCCATCCCCAGCAGCATTAGCAGAAGCCTATCAAGAGTGATGCCCCAGCCCAAGCAGCACTGAATCTCAGGGATCCAAGACCTGTATAAAAAACCAATTCCAGCCACCAGGTGTCAAGCCCTCCAGAACCCACAGCAGACAAGAGGAGCCACACACCAAAACAGGCTGGGAGATGCAACAGCCTTAATTGATATACACCGACCTGCATACACATTCCAACATCCTTCACAGGGCTTAGAATTACCAGAATGCTAAAATGGTGAGACAAAAAAACAACACCCAAATGAAAAAAAAAAAAAAAAGATAAATCACGAGAAAAGGAACTACAGGAACTAGAAGAAAGCAACTTGTCAGATAAAGAATTCAAAGAAATGATTATAAGGGTGCACAAACAATTTGGTGAGAACTACAAACAACTTAAAAAGAATTATGAAGGGCTCACTGAGAACTACTTCAGCTTAAAAAAGAGG